GAAATCCTCGGGCCTCTTCCGCCGCACGACACCGCCCCCTCCCACTTCCGCCCTGCCGCAGTGGTTCCGCCTGGCGACCTTTCTGAGCTCTGGCTCTAGACCCGACCCGCGGCCTGGCCCTTCCCGAAGCTCTTCGTGTATCTCCGTGAGAGCTCGGCAACTTTCGGTCAACAGTTTCTCACTCTTCGGCTTTCTCCGGAAGCGCGTTGGCGAAGCGCAGGCTTTGGGAGCCTTCTCCAACTTGGAGGCTCTTCTGGGAAAATTATTTTGTGGACACCACTCCTCTTTACTAGGCTCCTTTCCTTTCCCCTTCCTTTTCTTCCTTTTAGAGTCAGGGTCTCGCTGTGTAGCTCAGGTTAGCTTCGAATTCATGATCTTCCCACTTCTGTCTAAGGAAACATGGTCTTTAAGCCCGGCATTAGCGTGTCAGCAGCCAGCATCGTCACTCTGTGTTTGGTTTTCTCATCTTCAGAATGAGGGTGCCTGGTTCTGCTGGGGCCAGAGCTTATCAGAATAAAAGACGACAGTGGCTATGTGATGCTTGTGGACAAGGGCGCTCTTCACATGGTGTCTGACCTCCAGGCCCTGCCCCCACGCTCCTTGGGGTCCTGTTGAAATGCAGAAGAGAGGGACTTTGGACCAGGGTTGCTATGGCACCAGCATCCTGGCTCTGTGGTCCCTGGGTTTCGTTCATACCACAGGACTGTTTTCACACATCAGACCCTTGCGTGGGCATAATGTTTTCCAGCAAAGCTCTCCGAGAACTGGTTCCCTTTATATTCCCCAGTGCTCACGTATGTGGCTTCATTATCATAATTGGTTGTGTCCACGCAGCCATTGCTATGGTGACCAAAACCATCTGAACCCTTGCCTTAGAAACTACAGTGCAAAGACTCTGACCAGAGCCTGGCTTGCCAAGTCAGACTGACCTTAGCTCTTTAAACCCGGATCAAATGTTCAATATCTCGTTGCTGTGCTGAGGCCTGCAGGGAACTCCTGCATCTCTTGTAGACCCTTCCCTCACCAGACACCTCCCCACTCCCCATCATGCTCCCTCTACACAGAGCCTTTGCATCTGCTGTTTCCTCTGGGGAAACATGTTCTTCCAGCCCCTCATGAGCTAGACCCTAGTAGATAGACATCCTTTACTCTCAACTCCAGGGTCACTTCCCAGACAAGCCCTTCCTGACCTCCCTGAGGAGAGGGAGCCCAACTCTTGTTTTGGTTTTTCGAGACAGGGTTTCTCTGTATTGCTTTGGAGTCTGTCCTGAACTGGCTCTGTAGCCCAGGCTGGCTTCGACCTCAGAGATCTGCCTGCCTCTGCCTCCCAAGTGCTGAGATTAAAGGCGTGCGCCACCAACGCCCGGCTGGGAGTCCGACTCTTATCAGACCTAGTTTTCTAGTTTCCAACCCTGTCTCAAATTCCCTTTGTCTTTGGCCATTCGACTACTTGATTGATGGCTACCTCCCTCTCAGCAGCTAGCAGCCAGGCAGAGGCTTCTCCCAGCGCCAGAGAAGTGGGTACTGGTCTACAGTGTCTATAGAATGGAAAAAAACCAAAAACAAAAAACTGGTGCATGCCTGTGATCCCAGTGCTCAGAGGCTGAGGCAGGAAGCCTGAACCACTTAGCGAAACTTGAGGAGTGGATGCTGGAGTATTTAAATTCAATTTTTAACCTTTAAAAATATTTTGTCTATTTTTTGAGAATTTCATACAATGTATTTTGTGACTATTTTTAAAAGATTTATTTATTCATTATATATAAAGTATTCTGTCTGCATGTGTCCCAGCAGTCCAGAAGAGGGCACCAGATCTCATTACGGATGGTTGTGAGCCATCATGTGGTTTCTGGGAATTGAACTCAGGACCTCTGGAAGAGCAGCCACTGCTCTTAACCTCTGAGCCATCTCTCCAGCCCATGGTTGTTTTTTGTTTTGTTTTGTTTTGTTTTTTAATTTCTTATTTAGAGACAGGGTTTCTCCGTGTAACATTCCTGGCTGTCCTGGAACTTGCTTTGTAGACCAGTGGCCTCGAACTCACTGAGATGCACCTGCCTCTGCCTCCCAAGTGCCACCACAACCTGTCTTCTTTTAAACTGCTGAATGGTGAAGTGAAGTTGATGACTTCTTGTCTACCTAGGTGCTGAAAGGGTAGTTTGGCCGGGGGTGGGGTGGGGGGGTCACCTTAAAGATGCTTCGTGAGAAAATGAGCTGACGGGAGAGCTGGGAGACAGGCAAGTCCACAGCTGGCCCTGTAACGTTGCAGGAGAGCAGGAAGCTGATGACTGAGGGTGGTGGCAGCGACCAGGAGCAGACAGTAGTGAAGTCCGAGTTTGAATGTAAAGTCATGTATGTAGGCCTCATCCCAAGAAATATCAGAGCAGAGTGTGGCAGGGACAGGAAGCTGCCAGTGAGAAGTGAGTTGGTCAGGTCAGCTACATTCCACAAGCTGCAGCAAGTTCCTGCTCCAAACAAGAGGCAATGCAGAGAGCTAGTGTCGTCCTACCTAACAGGGGTCCTACCTAAGAATATGGAAATTTTTCTCCAGGAAGAGGGGTGGACATGGACTGAAAGCCTACAGCAGAGAGCAACTCCCTCCAGGACAAGGGCTATCTTTAGCAGTTGTGAGAGCTTACCTCACTCACAGCTAGCTCCTAGCTGGTGTTTCATCCTTTCTAGAATTCTACCACTTCAGAGAGAAGCAAAGTTTGTCTCTCTCCAGTTCTTGCCCACACTGTAAGCAAACCCCTTTCCATTCACCAATTCTTGCCTCCTAGATTTTTGACACAGCCTGCAACAATGATCCTGAGACCCCCTAGGTCACTGAGGTACTACTTCCAAACAGCCATGGGTGAGGGTCACTCACTCGGGTAATTTACAAGGTGCCCCTGGCCTGCTCCAGCAGCAGAGCAGGGACAGAATGTGTCTCCACATGGCACTATGCTTTGACCAGGGTGCACTTGGGGGGAGAACAGAGGCCCCACTTTGGGTATAGTGTCATCCAGGGTAGGGAATTCTCATTTCTCATGACTAGGGAGGTGACAAGTAACAAACAAGCTTAAAGGAAAGGGAAATAGCCAGGGGGTGGTGCTGCATGCCTTTAATCCCAGAATTTAAGAGACAGAGGCAGGAAGATCTCTCTGAGTTCCAGGACAGCCATGGCTACCCAGAGAAACCCTGTCTCAAAGAAAAAAAAAAAAAAAAAGCTGGGGGTAGGGAAATGTTCAGCACCATCTGAACTTATGTACAACATATTGTAAATATGATTCAACTCTGGTTTAGAATATACTGTATATGATGATAAAAATTAGTTATAAAGGTCTACTCAGAATAAGCAATGCTGACTTTGAGATTTACACCTAACTACTTACATCTTTGCTAATTGTTCAGCGCCAAGCTCCTGAAAAACTTAGATAAGTAACCACATACATTTGTTAAATAAGATGTACTTTATAAATAGGATTTATAAACTCCTAAGGTCTACTCAGGTTTACAGTATAATTAAAAGTTTTGACATTAAAAACTTCAAAAAGTGTTACTTTTAAGGCTCAAATTTAACAGGAATAACACTGCAAAAATCCTAATCTTATGAAAAGTACTTACTTGCAAACTGTTTAGGATAATTAAGACATGCTAGTTAATGGTCAGTCACCTTATAGATGACCAGATTCTTTAGTGTCTTCAGAACTATACTTGTAGTCATGCTAAGTAATGATGTAATTAATTACAGGAACAAACTTTATTTAGCCTCCTGTATGTTTTCAAAGTTAAGCCTAAAACGAGTAACCAGAAACAAGCAGTTTGTTGTTTAGATATACTTAATAGATAGATGGTCCTCAAACTCTTCAGAGATCTCCTGAATATGGCATTTAAATTTTTTTGTTTTTGTTTTTCGAGACAGGGTTTCTCTGTGTAGCTTTGGAGCCTATCCTGGCACTTGCTCTGGAGACCAGGGTGGCCTCGAACTCACAGAGATCCGCCTGCCTCTGCCTCCCGAGTGCTGGGATTAAAGGTGTGCGCCACCAACGCCCGGTGGCATTTAAATTTTTTTTAAGTATTTTATTTTTTTTAAAGATTTTATTTTTATTTATTTATTATGTATACAAGATTCTGCTTCCATGTAAATCTGCACACCAGAAGATGGCACCAGATCTCATAATGGATGGTTGTGAGCCACCATGTGGTTGCTGGGAATTGAACTCAGGACCTCTGGAAGAGCAGTCAGTGCTCCCAACCTCTGAGCCATCTCTCCAGCCCGGCATTTAAATTTTTAATAAAAAAGCTTCCCTTGATAGAGAGAAGCACCAGTTCCTGGCAGTAGCCCTAATCTCCAAAGAAGTTGATGGACACCGAAGAACTTTTCCTGGAGCTTGCTTTAAATGTGGCAAAGCTGGCCAATGGTTGAAAAACTGCCCCTCACCTCACCCGCCCAGTCCAAACTGACTACCCCACTTTGCCTAGATGAGGTAGGCTGGTCCCCCAGGTTCCTCCTCCACAGGAAAGTCTGTCCGATCTTCTGGGTCTGTCGGCTGAAAACCGATACTGCCCTGGGACCTCTGCCCCCAATGATCATGGAGGAACCTAGGGTGATTGATTGTCCAGGAACCCAGGTAAGTCTCTGTCATTTTTAATAGATTCGGGAACTGCTTGGTCTGTATTTCCTTTTCACTCTGGTAAATTCCATTCTTTTTAGACTTCTGATGGCACTGATGACTAGCCTAGTGATAGCTTTGTCAGCTTAACAGCAGCAACCAAGGTTTCAGCTACCTTCTCAGTTCTCTTAATATATAAAAATCAGGCCTCAGGCCTCACATTCCTAAAGCTACTACAAGGTCTAGACATAGTCTACCTTGTTACCAGACTCTATGAGTTCAAGGCCCTGCCTGGTCTATAGAATAGTGAGTTCCAGGACAGCCAGAGCTACACAGAGAAACCCTGTGTCAAAAAACCCAAAGCCACCCTCCCCACTAAAAAAAGAATATGATTTAAGATATATGTAAAAATTAAAAATTTCAGGTTTCTTTCCCTCACTATGCTATTGTTATATTAAGGCTTCAAAAGTTGACTTTTAACATTAACCAATGCAGTTCTGATAAGCTATTAATCTAGCTCTGGTAAGCAATGACTTCCACTCTCATAATCACAAGCTCAAGATTTTAAATTT